GGGTTGCTGAGTTGCCATGCTTTGCGTGCTGAGATGCGAGCGGCGCAAGCACGGCACGGCAAGCGGTGTTGATGTGGCGCATCAAGACTACAAAAATACAAACTGGTTTTTGAACACACGTGTGGCGGCCTCAACAGCCCACACGGTCACTCTGTGACACATCAGTGATGGAATCGTATGGAGCGCTGTGGACAACCACAGTACCGCACAATGCTGAGCGTGTTCCACTGTTCTTGACCACCGATTTGATATACCCCTTCTGTGTCACCAGCAGGCATCCCAGATCGTGTGATCGTCGTCAACTCGTCGATCCTTGTCGATCGCTCGACGCAACACGCTGTGCCACCTTTCCAAGAGTTTTGATCAACCTCGCGCGGCAATCCGCGCCGATTTTCAAGCAGGCAGCAGGGGCAGCGTAGCGTCTGCGACACGCTCGAGCCCGGCACGCGCAGCGGGGATGCTGGAGGCGCGCCTGCTGCAGGGCAGCCTGCTGAAGAAGACTGTAGATGCGGTCAAGGATCTCGTGAATGAGGGCAACTTTGAATGCAGCGCGGCGGGCATCCAGCTGCAGGCCATGGACACGAGCCACGTGTGCCTGGTCACGCTGATGCTGCGGCAGGACGGCTTTGAGCACTACCGCTGCGACCGAAACCGCACGCTGGGGATCAGCATCGCCAACCTGGCAAAGGTGCTGAAGTGCGCAGGTGAAGAGGGCGTGGGGTGGGCAGGGAGCGGGCTCGGGCGAGGGCGCGGGCGCAGTCGCGGTGGCCGGCGGCGGGCAGGCGGTGCGCCGCCAGAGGGACGGGATAGAGGGCCAACCGGGATGCTGCAGGGAAGTTCGCTGCGCGTGGATTATGTACTTCCAACGGCGAGGTGTCCCCACCATTGACTTCGGCACGGGGACTTGCGTTGCTGGTGTACCACTGTCAGCAAGGGCTGGGCACTTGGATGCCTCACATGCAGCTCGAAAAGCGCGCCCCTCCCTCCCTGCAACCATATGCACCTCACCTGCCGCTCTGTTTCCCTTCTCCACGCGAGCAACCGCCACGCGTCGCGTTGTCATCGCTAGGTAACGATGACGTCATCACCCTGAGGGCCCAGGACGACAGTGACAGTGTCACCCTGATTTTCGAGAGCCCCAAGGCGGACCGCATCTCAGGTGGCCGCGCCGGCGCAGGGCCTCAACACGGCGGACCTTGAACGGCGCCACAAGCGTGGATTCTTGTCGACTGCGAAGGTTGAAAACAGCAGGGCTTGGATCAGGACCTTGCACCTTTGCAGCCACCTCCAAGCCCCCCCTTAGAAATGTGCACCACCCCCTCGCCATCCCTACCCAGACTTTGACCTGAAGCTGATGGACATTGACAGCGAACACCTGGGCATCCCCGAGACAGAGTACAGCGTCGACGTGAGGGGGAGGGGGGCCTGGACCTCAGCTGTACGGCCCCGGGAAACCTCCGCGCAGCTCGCGCCTCGCGTCGATGATGGGACGCCTGCAGGGGGTGTCCCGAGCGCGCGTCTGCGCAGCCGGCAGCCGCGCGCTGCCGCGGACGCCCTCTTGAACTGCGCGCTCGGGCCTCGTGCAAGGCCGTCCGCTGCTCTCTGATCCCCCAACCGACCTCACTAGCGCCTGTTGCTGCGCGTGCGGCCGACCATCGGCGCGCGCCTGCAGTGCTGCGGCCCGTCCTCACCCACGCGGCCCCCACATCCCTCCCTGGCGACAGGTGCGCATGCCCAGCAGCGACTTCAGCCGCATCTGCAAGGACCTGGCCACCATCGGCGACACTGTGGTGGTCAGCGCCACCAAGGAGGGCATCAAGTTCAGCGCCAGCGGGGACGTGGGCACGGGCAACATCACCTGCAAGTGAGGGGCCCCGGCAAACAACCGCCAGGGGGGGCCCGGGCACGCCGCTGCCAGATGGGCTTGGGCAGGCTGCCGCCAGAGGGTCTTGCGGGGGCAGGGACTGCGAGGCGACCGCGTGCTTGCGCGGGCAGGTGCTCAATGGCGGCCAGCTCGCTTCCGAGCTGCTCACTGGTGTTGAGTGGCGCTCTCTCCCAGTCAGCACGTCACTGGCCGGCGCTTCACCTCCCCAACATCTTTGTTGCACCCAGCCGGCAGGCTTGCGCGCCTGTCGCCTGCGCACTCACACACACACACACACACACACACACACACACACAGGCACACATACACACACAGGCACACTTACACACACACATACGCACTCACCAGCGAGCGACAACGCACTAAGCCGAATCACTCGACCGCACTCCTTCGCCCGCATCATTCTGGAATCCGGACAGGCACAATGCCTCCGTGGACAAGCCCGACCAGGCCACCTACATCGACATAACAGAGCCCGTCTCGCTGTCCTTCGCGCTGCGCTACCTCAACTCCTTCGCCAAGGCGGCGCCGCTGGCGGCGTCCGTCAAGCTGTGCATGAGCGCGGACCTGCCCGTGCTCGTGGACTACAGGTGACTGTGCAGCGGCGGGCCGGGGCCCGGAGGCGGCAGCTGTGCGACGGGGCGCTGGCTGGGGCTGCCAGCGGGAGGGTGGGTGAGGGAGGCTGCCCAGGCACAGCCGCTGCTTCTGGGGGTGACGCTGTACACTGCCCCCCCCCCCGGCTTCATTGCTCATTTTTCCAGCAGAGACTGGTTGCTAGCAATTCTCCGTCCTACCCTGATTGTTATCCCCTGAGCCAACCCCACAGCACCCCGGCTGTTGAAATGTTTTTCTGCTGGATGCAAGCAACAGCCCACCCTGTGCCTGTTGCGCAGGATCGAGGACATCGGGTGGGTGAGATTCTATCTGGCGCCGAAGATAGATGACGAGGAAATGGACGTGGGCGGCGGCGGGGCTGAGGAAGACGACAACGAATGATGTGGTTGGCAGGTGGCGCTGGTTAGGCCCGGTGTTGCCAGGGCGGGCTACTGTAGCGCATTGTCGCCGGTGCTTATGCCGGCAATTACATTGACACCCTGGGAAAAGGGCCTTGGCTGCGACAGGATGAATTCGCTGTGCGCATGGTGGAGATGACGCAGTGCGTGTACTGAGTGATGCATCGCAGGCGTCAGCCTGCCATGTCGGCCCCACGCAGCGACTGCGGGCGCTGACACGCTCCAGTCCAGCGGCTCGACGCACTCTTGGCATGTCCACTAGAGATTATGTGCCAAGTCCCGCCAATTTATGCCCTGCGACACCCTGGGCGATCCTAGGAGGTTGCGTCACCCCGGCGTTAGTAACCCTTTGAGGCACCCTCGGGTGGTCGGGGCTGGTTCTGTGGACGAGCTCTATGCAGCCCTCCTGAAGACGTTTTGGTGGCAAGTTATCCTACTGTCGGTGCCCACATCACCCTATCTGCCGGGTTCTGTCAGACTCCGCGGTCCAGATCACGCTGCACGCCATCTTGGGCTTGGGTGTGCATGAAAAGCTATGGATAACGGACTAAATGATGCGGAACTGGGGGCGTGGCTCGAGTGGCTGCCTCAAGATGACTTTCACAGCACGCTCGAGCCTGCCGCGGGGAATGGCGACGCGGCGCAGCATCAGGGTGCTCAGATGGCAGTGCAGCCACCCTCGGTGGGGCACCAGCAGCAGCAGCAGCAACATCAACAGCAGGGGCAGGGGTCGGGTCCTTCTCCGCAGCCAGCACAGGCCAAGACCTTCCAAATGGTAGCAATGGGCGCTATGGACCCCTTACAGGTGGGTTTGACGGGGTTGGCACCTGCGCGACGGGGGCGGGCGGGGCGGCCGCCGGGGGCAAGCGTCCACGGTCGACGTATGTGGTGTTCCTCGTCCAATGACCCCCTCCCACGCCGCCGCCGATCTGCAGGCGCAGGCCTACGCGCTGCAGTACCCGGTGCAGCACCAGGCGGGCGCGTTTGACCAGCTGCTGACAGCCATGCCGCTGGCGGGGCACTCCATGGCGTCTTCCGGCACGCAGCAGCAGGTCGCCATGGGCATGGCGGGCCCGCAGCAGGTGGCGCCGGCGCTGTACATGCCGAGTGGCTACAGCCTGCAAGGTGAGAAGGGCGCTGACTGTGGAGGCACACGCCCAGCAGCAATGGTGCGGGGCGCATGCGCCGGCAACCCCTGCGGCAGCTGATGTCGAGCCCGCCTGCCTGACGTCGCAGCGCACGCCGACCGCACCCCACCCCGCGGCGCCCCTCGCAGGCGCCCCTTCGGACGCGAGCGGCGCAGCCGCGGCGGCGGCGGCGGCGGCGGCCGGCATGGGCGGCAACAAGTCGCGCCTGCGGTGGACGCCGGAGCTGCACGCGTCGTTCGTGCGGTCCGTGGCGCAGCTGGGGGGGCCCGACAAGGCCACGCCAAAGGGCATTTTGAAAGCCATGGGCGTCGACGGCCTCACAATTTACCATATCAAAAGCCACCTGCAGAAGTACCGCCTCAACGCCCGCGTGCCCGGCGGCGGCGGCTCCGCCGCCGCGGGCAGCGTCGACGGCGCCAGCGACGGCGCCGGGGCCGCGGGGGAGTCGTGGGAGGCCGCGAGCGCGGCGGGCGGCGACTCGCCGCACAGCACAGGGCCCGGCTGCGGCGCGCCGCCGACGGCGCTGGGGATGCCGCTGGCGGCGGCGGCCCCGGCTGCAGGCGGGCAGGCCGGCGCCGCGGCGTCCTCGGCCTTGGCTTCCGCGGAGCAGCTGCTGCAGCAGCAGCGGCAGGTGCTGCCGCCGGTTGCGCAGCAGCAGCAGCAGCAGCAACATCAGCAGCAGATCCAGCCGCCCCCGCGGCCACCGTCGGCGGGGCCCAGCACCAGCGCGGCGGCGCCCACAAGCTCCGCCGCGGCCGCTGGGGCTGCGGCCGTGGATGCCGCGACGGCCGAGCAGGCAGCCAGCGTGACGCGGCGCGATCTGGAGGATGCATTAGCGCTGCAGATGGATCTCCAGAAGAAGCTACATGAGCAGCTGGAGGTGCGGGCCTGCATGTTTGTGTGTACATACGCATGCGCTCGCGTGGGAGAAAGAAAGACACAGTCACACATACACACAGGGAGAGAGAGAGAGAGAGCGTATGTGTTTTTGTGCGGGCGCGCGTTTGGCTGTCTTTCGTTGCAGCCCATAGCTGTTCTACTGTATGGTGCAATCGCGGGTGTGTGCACGTCCGCCCATGTGCCCGCCTGCCGCTCGCCTCTTGACCCCCGGTGAACGCCCTGCCCGCCGGCCCACCGCAGTCCCAGCGGCAGCTGCAGCTGAGCCTAGAGGCCCACGGGCGCTACATCGCGAGCCTGATGGAACAGGAGGGGCTGGGGCACAGGCTGCAGGACATCGCGGGGATCACCGCACCTGGCCCGGGCACGCCGGCCGCGCCCGCAGCCGCGGCTGGCGCAGCGTTCGGCGGCTGCTCAGGGGGTGGTGGTGAGAGGCAGGAGGTAGAGGCCGCGGCGGGCGCGGGGGTGGGGGGCGGCGGCGCGCCGCGGTTGCCTGTGCAGCAGCAGCAGCAGCAGCAGCAGCAGCAGCAGCAGCAGCAGCTGCTGATGCGGGAGCCCGAGCTCGGAGACCTGCTGGGTGGCCTGCCGCTGCATGCGCCTTCAGGCTTCCTGCCGGCCGCCGCCGGCGGCGGCCGCCTCGGCGCGGGCGTCGGTGGCGGCGGTCAGGCGGCTGCCGTGACCATGGCGGGCGGCGGCGGCGCCGACGAAGCCGGGCACGCAGGGCGGCGGCGGGCGGCTGAGC